CCCCCCGCTGTAACCATATACCACCCTCATATTTGCTTCTTGGCCTATGAAGGCCTTCCTCTCCACAGTTTGCTAGGCTGGACTATTTTCTGTGATTCTGAGCTGCCCCACGTGGTTTGCTCACAGATTCTGGGCTGAAAGCAGAAAGCCTGGAAGGATAGTAGTCCACACAACTCTGCAACAATAGAGACCAGCTGCCTTTTAAGAACTGTTATTCCCAAGTGTCTTAACTGGGGCAATGAATTCTGGTCATGAAACATTCTGGGCTGCTGCTGGCTATTCTGGAAGAAACAGTTCAACTTCAAAACAATCTCCTTCAAAGGAGGGATCTCATGGGTGAGCCACATCCATAGGAAAATAACAAGTGCTGTTTTCATGATGCTGCCTGCTTGAACTGGTGCTGGCGGCAAATGCAGTTTCTTCCACAACTCCTCAGGGCATCTCGACCATCCTACTTTTCCAAAGTATGCTTTTCTAAGCATGAACCTGCTGCCCTCTCTCTTCCAGGTGTGGAAAAGACCACTACTGAAGATGGAGGCTGACATAAGGCAGCTGGATGATTCTGCTGTGCTGCAGGGGCCAGGGCCAGGAGAAGACTCATTTCTATGCCTGAACAAAGGCAGTGGATTTTCTTCTTGCTCTGTTTTAGCAGCTATGTGTATAGTCTGATGAGTTGTGGCTCTTTGAGTCAAGGAAGTGGGCCAGAGAGCAGGGGACAGGTTAGATGGTCAAGGGTTCCAGGTCATAAGAGTTGTGACTATTTAAAGAGTCTCACTGTGTAGCCCTGGATAGCATGGAACTCTATGTAGCCCTGGATGGCCTAGAAGTCACAGAGATTCACTTGCCTCTGTCTTCTGAGTGCTGTGATTAAACGTGTTTTGCACCACAAATTGTGAGGCTTCACGTGCCTGCCTTCTGCATCTGTGTGCTGTGCATGCTCTGTCCCTTACATGTAGTCAGGTATCCAGTATTTCTGTCTGTTTCCTTCATATGTTAATCTTTTGTCTATTTTTTTAAGACAGGGTCTCTTGGTAGTCCCAGCTATCCTGAAATTCACTATTATAGACCAAAGGTCCTCCTGCCTCTGCCTTCTAAGTGCTGGGATTAAAGGTATGTGCCACCATGCCAGGTTCATATGTTAATCTTGATGGCTCTTTTCCAAGTCTCTCTTCTGCCACAGTAGTGTGATCCTGTGATAGAAAGATGTACCCATCTTTCAAGTATTTCCCAGCACAGTCATTATTTGAGGGAACTACATAAGCAGTATTAGAAATGGGAGAGGAAGGCAGTCACAGCTCTTGTGAAACGATCTGTAGTGTTCTTCATTCATCTCCACTTTTCATTCAACAAATTTTATAGTACTGTGTACTGGGCACAAAAGACTAATAGCACACATTCTCTGACCTGGGGGTATACATAGTACTTAACAATATAGGTAAATTCTCAAGCAAGGACTAGACAAGAGGCTGCTGCCCCTATGGTGGAAACAAACCTTAATCCAATGCTGTCACAAACACCAACATGTACCGTTGGTTGACTCTCTCAAACAGGGGATCTGGTTGAGTAGGGTGTTGTCAGGGAAAGCTTCTGGAAAGAAAGGTTGTTGCCACCGAATTGCTATATGTATAGAAATTACTTGAGGCAGGAACAGCATTTTAGGTGAAAAACTTGCATGGGTAAAGGCCTTAAGGCAGGAGTATGGGGTTCAGATACTGACAAGCTGGACACACAAAGAGCAGAGAGGTAACTAGGCTAGGGAGGTAGCTGGAGGCCAGATTTAAGAAGGAAGGTCAAAGCAGGGGAGTGACTTGACCTAGCTGATCTGTTTAGAACATCACTCTGGGTGCTCCACACAGAGTGACTGAATAGGGCAAAACTGCGGAACAGTTCAGTAGTCAGTTCAGAAAGTGTTGGGATGGAGGAAAGTGAATGTATTTGTGGGTGTTGAGTCAAAGCAGACGGGATTGAATGCTGAGGATGAGTGATCGAGGAAGCAGGCAAACTCTGATATGACTGGGTGATGGCACTGGTTAGGCTGCTGCTCCTGAGAAGGGCTATGGAGAAATAGATTTGGGTGTATGCAGGGACTCCAGGTGTTTCCATGTTAGGTGAGATGTCCTTACTAGTCATGCATATAGCCATGCCACACTGGAAACTGGGGAGAGGGAAGAGGGCTGTTAAGATTACTTGGAGTGTGGTGGCCACAAAAGGAGCAGGAGCCAGAAGAGGGACTGGGAGGGAATAGCCACTGATGTGAGGGAAATGAGAAGAAATGTTTCAAGGATGGAGTGGGCAGCTGTGGCCAGCGCTGCTCAGAAGTGCAGACCTGGCACTGGTACACAAGTCTCTTATGGAAGAGAGGACACTGGGACAACATCTCACCCTACTGCAACTCAGACTGGCCTAGCTTGATCCTTCTGCCTCAGCCTCCCAAGTACTGGAATGGTAAATGACGAAAAAACCTCTAAGTTTAACTACTGTAAGTGGGTGGTCTCTCTTGATAACCAGGATCGGAAAAGGGAGGTTTGTTTTTATTTTAGGACATTCCACATGAGGAAGGATAATGGGATGGACCAAAAGGGTTAAAAGACAGCATTGATATGCCCACCTTTAATACCAGCATTCAGGAGGTGGAGGCAGGTTGGTCTCTATAAGTCTGAGGCCAGTATGAACTACACAGTGAGACCCTGTCTCAACAAATAAAACAAAAAAACAAAAATGAAAACAAAGAACACAGATGGTTAGTTTTGGTTGTCAACGTGACACAATCTAGAATCATCTGGACAGAGAATCTCAATGAGGGATTGTCTAGATCAGGTTGGCCTGTGGGCATGTCTGTAAGGGACTGTCTCAATAAGATTAATTCAGATGGGGAGATGTGCTCACGTAGGTGGCACCATTCCCTAGGCAGGGGATATTGGACTCTAAGTGTAGAGAGGGGTTGAATGTGAGTAAGCATTCACATTTCATTCTCTCGGCTCAAGTTTTGCCTTGATTTCCCCACAGTGATGTTACCTGGAATTGTGAGCCAAATAAACCCTTTCTCCCTTAAAGTTGCTTTTTGTAAGAAGAGTAGTTAGTTTATCACAGCAACAGACAGTAAACTAGGGCAGGCAGGCTACCGCAGGCTGTGATTACTGCATACATCTGGAGGTGGGGAGGGCAGGGTCCCACGCTGACACCGGGATGCTCTGTGTGACCCGGTCTGGCTTCAATCGTGCGCTGCAATCCGTGGGCTGCAAGCGTTTACACAATCATCACTTTTCCTTTTGTTTGTGTCCACTGATGTGAAAAATTTACTGATAGAGCTCATAGGCTTTACAATTTGGTGCTGAAGGTTCAAGGCCGGCTCGAGGAGCCATGAGGCACACGTAGGGCTTGCGGGACTCCACCAGCTGCGGGCTCTGGAGCCCAGGGCTGCAGACCCGACCTCAGACCAGACCTCACCAGGGGTCCAGCCTAGACTCCAGCTCCTAGTCTAAGAGGCAGGTGGGATCCGAGCAGCCCCGCCCTCCCGTGACCATGCCCACGGCACCTCCTTCACACGGCCCCGCCCTCCAGTAGCCCCCCTCCTCCAGGCCCCGCCCCATCATTGACCACGCCCCTCCTGGGCGCCCTCCCTCGTTCCGCCCCTCCTCAGCGCAGCCCAGACCGACGGCACCATGGTGCAAGCCTGGTACATGGACGACTCCGCCGACGACCCGCGGCTGCCCCACCGCGCCCAGCCCGACCGCCCGGTGGGTCTGGAGCAGCTGCGCACGCTCGGAGTGCTCTACTGGAAGGTACTGGGCGCGGGCTAGAGTACAGCGCGCCTGCGCACGCTGCGAAAGGCTGGCGACGGCTGGCGGGGGTTGGGGGTGGGGGTGGGGTTGCGCATGCTCAGCACGGCCCGGTGGTCCGTGTCAATTTAGGGGTTTGGCCCTTGGGTGACTGCTTCCCCACGCCGCCTGGTGACGACCTCAGGCGAAGGAGCCACTGCCTCTTGCACTTTCACGCTCCTAAGGCCCGTGGGCTGGGGGCTCTGTGTTCTCGCGTGGGCCCCGCCCCACTTGCACGCCTCTGGAAAGGTCGTGAACCCGTGAGTTCAGGTCTGAAGTTTGCTAAGGCAGGCCCAGCCGGAGCACTTGCGTGGTCAGCAGATAAAGTTCACCGTAGGGGGAGAAAGGCGAAGCCCGAGAAGATTGAAGGGTGACTGGATCCGGTCCTTGTTTTTTCCTCCGTAGCCAATCCGAATCGGCGTGAGATGAAATGCAAACGCAGGTTGGCCTGGAGCCAAGTCTGGGGAGCTCTGTTCAGTCACTTTGCGAATCTGTGTACCTCCTTAAAGCCCAGCAGGCTAGCTCACCACGTGGTGTGCCAGTTACCGAAGTTGATACCACTCCAGAGTTGATATGCAAGGCTACCATGAGGGGCCAGGCTCAAATCCACCTCTGCTAGGGTAGGGTTAAGATATGACTCCAAGTAGGATGAAAGGTGATTGGAGGTGAGGGAATCAGTGGTGGCACATGACCTCCAGAATTAGTGACCTCATCAACTGAAAGCAAGTCACCCCAGGCAAGCAGTGGCTGGTGGGTTTGCTTTCCTTGGTTTTGTTAGGAAGAAGAGGAGCCAGCGGTCTTATCTGGCACTCCTGTTGACTGGAGGAGCTAGAAGTTATTTGGGAGAGGGGACAGAGGAGAGTGACAGAAAAGGTTTCCTGGCCTTACAAATACCCTAGATCAGGGGGTCAAATAAGAACTTTGTGCATATAATAGATGGTCTATAAACAACAGAAATTGCTCACTGTTGGAGAGACTGGGATGCCTCGTCAGGATGCCTTCAGATTCAGTGTCTGGTGAAGATTGACACCCCAGAGTACTTCTGGCCACAGAAGGTTCAAACAGCTCTCTTGCAGCAGCAGTTTTAAGATCACTCATCTTATGCAGGAGCAGCCAGGCCTAACGTGGAAGCCCATCTTCTCTGCTGTCATGTGGGTGATGAAGTCACAACTCAAGGACTGGAGCCAAGGTGCATTCAGCACAGCAAATAGCATTGTGCCTGTCATGTAGTGGGCCACAAACTCTGTAGAAAATAATGTATTGATGCCTGGGCTTTGAGACACCCCAGAGTTCGCTGTTCAGTAAGGATGATAAAATGCATTTTATTGCAAAACAAATGTCAGAGTTCACTAAATTCACTGTCAGTAGTTTAAAATAGTTCAGATTCATTCTGTCAGGAGCCCTAGGGGAGTGCTTCTGGAAGGTAACCTTGAATTTGAACCTTAAAGTTTAGGGGGGCTGGAGAGGTGGTTCCGTGGGTTAAGAGCACTGGCTGCTCTGGCAGAGGACCTGGGTTCAGTTCCCAGGACCCACATGGCAGCTAACAACCATCCATAATTCTAGCTCCAGGGGATCCTGTGCCCTCTTCTGACCTTTGTGGGCATTGCATGCATGGGTGCACTTATATACATGCAGGCAAAACTCACACACATAAGAAATTAAAAAAAATTTTTAAATGTAAAAAAGGATAGGATTGTGATCAATGAAAATTACAAGCAGGAGGAATCTGAGGCATGGATTCCTGCCACGAGCAAGGGTCTCACTATGCAGCCCTGGCTTGTCCCAAACTCACTCTGTAGATAAGGCTGCCCTGGAACTCACAAAGATCTGCCAGTCTCTGTTTCTTGAGTACTGGGATTAAAGGTGTGTGCCAGCCAAGGGTGTAGCCCAAGACTAGCATGAAACTCTGGTGTGCGTTTACTTCTTCAGCTTATCTACCCTAGTGAACTGCCACAACTGGCTTTTTCTCCTTTTTTTTATGGGGTTTTGCCATGTAGCCCAGGCTAGCCTCCAACTCACAAGACTCTTCAGCATCCTGAATAGCTGGAATTGCAGGTTCATACCCTGTTCAGTAGTTCTAAGAGTAGTGAATATTTCTTTTTGGTTTAGCGTATCAATTTCTTTAACATAAGAGGGATGGAGCAGATAGAAGCAGAAAAGTCAAGTGGGGCCAGGTTACAGCAGCCCTCTTACTCCATCTCAATGAACTTGAGCATGGTCTGTGGGCCAGGGATGCATACTAAGAAACCACAGAGAGCCTAGAACCTCAGTCTTGCTGCATGCAAGATGGCAGAGTAGTCACACACACTGAAGGAGCTGCATCTTATCTTGGCAGGTGTGAGGTGTAAGAACTTCATCTGGAAATTGGAAGGACCCCAGAAACACTGCCAGCAGAGGGGAGGGCAAGCAGGGCAGGTGTTAGCCCAGAAGGACTACTGGCAGAGGGGAGCCCCAAACAGGGGTGGTGTGTCTAGCTGGCATTTTGGAGAATAGAAAAACCATTGAAAGAAACAAGAGGAGATGGTTGGCTAGGCCAGGACTGGCAAAGGATACATGATGCTCTTCGAGGGTGAGCTTATTACAGGTCTGGAAGGAGCATGTTGCTATGTTCCCTGTAGTGCTGGGGACTGAACCCAGGGTTCTGTGCATGATAGGTAAGCACTGTACCACTAAGCTATACTCGCAGCTCAAATGCTGTGCTTTCCTGTACTTATGTGACCTCCTTTTTGCTTAAACTTATGTAGCTGGATGCTGACAAGTATGAGAATGACCCAGAACTGGAAAAGATCCGGAGAGAGCGAAATTACTCCTGGATGGATGTCATCACTATATGCAAAGATAAACTTCCCAATTACGAAGAGAAGGTGAGCAGGCCCAGCCTGGAGAGGGAATCATTATCCTCATTCCTGCTAACACAAGGCTTTTCTTTTGGTGTTTTCATTTGGATTTGGGGGCCGAGCAATGCTGTCCTAGAATGAGTTGGGCAGAGCCCTTCCCCTTTAGCTTTTTTGAGGGACACATATAGGGTGGTGGCGCAATTACCTTGTATGTGTAGCTTGGAATTTTCTTCATGGGAAGTTCTTAGCTCTGCATTGAACTCTTCCCTAGGCTCCCTGATGCTCACATGAGGTGTTCTTCTGAGGAGCTTTGGGGCTGTGTCTTCAGGGCACCTGTCCATTTCATTGGGACCATTGAATTCACCACCAGAGTTACTCAGAATGTCCCTAGAGCAGAGTGTGGTCTCACATCTATAATCCCAGCACTTGGAAGGTGAAGGCAGGCGGATCAGAAGTTCAAGGTCAAACCTGGCTACACAGCAAGTTTGAGGCCAGTCTGGCCTATATGAGACCCTGTGACAGAAAAGCAAAACAGAACACGTGGAGGTTATAGGACATCCTGAGAGAACAATGGATTCTCTTTCTTTCACCATTTGGGTTCCCAAGACTGAACTCAGATCATCTGGCTTGGTGGTGGTCTGGAGCTTGCTCTGTAGATCAGGCTGGCCTTGAACTTACAGAGATCCGCCTGCCTCTGCCTCTCAAGCGCTGAGATTAAAGGCATGTGCCACCACACCTGGCTAGGAACTTTTAATAACTATCCTTAGCATGTGTAGCATTTACCTCAGTTCTGGCCATGAGGGTTGGGGCTGCACAATGGGTTTCCAGTAGACTCACAGCTTCCCTCTTGTGCTAGATTAAGATGTTCTTCGAGGAACACCTGCACCTGGATGAGGAAATCCGCTACATCCTGGAGGGCAGTGGGTACTTTGACGTCAGGGACAAGGAGGACAGGTGGATCCGGATTTCCATGGAGAAGGGGGACATGATCACACTTCCTGCCGGCATCTATCACCGCTTCACACTGGATGAGAAGGTGAGGAGGGTGTGCCATGCAGTGGTCCAGCCATCATAGTGACTATAGTGACGATGCCACTTGCTCCAGGATGACCCAATAACTGCTGCATGAGGCCCATCATCTCACAGCCTGTTATAGCTTCAGGACTAGCTCTGTTCAGAGAGGGCCAGGGAGCCTGAGGCCAGGGGACCTGCATGGGAAGAGTCAGAATCTCACCTTTGTTCTTGGTGGAGAATGATGCAACTACAGCTCTGGTCAAGAGCAGGCAGGTGTCTGCAGGAGATTGACCTGCTCCTCACTGAGGGGGCAGTCTGTACTCTGTCACTGATGTAAAGGCTCATGGCTGTGGGATATCTGTAAGGTGGTGACTCTGTCATTTGGGGATCTCCTCAGCAGTAGTACAATATAGTCGTTAGGGTTGGCAGGAAGCAGGAATTAGTTCTAGGGGTCTCAGATTATGATTTGGGTTAAACCTGACATTTAAGTATATTTTTTTTGAGATATGATCTCATGTATCCTAGGCTGGCTGCTAACTCACTATGTAGTTGAGGATGATGTTGAAATTCTGATCTTCCTGTCTCTGAGACCTTCCCAGCACTGGCATTAGAGGTGCTTCCTACCAAACTTAGTTTTGTGTTGCTGGGGATGGGACCCAGGGCTTGCTGCATGCTAGGCAAACACTACTAGCTGAACCCTCAACCAAAGTATGATTTTTAAAAAATTCTGTGTATATGTGAGTGTCTGTACACATGAGTGTAAGGTTCTCTTGGAGTCCAGAAGAAGGTGTCAGATCCCCTGGATCCCCTGGAGCTGGAGTTACAGGCACTTGTGAGTCACTTGACATGGGTGCTGGAAACTGAACTTGGGTCCTCTACAAGAACAGTATGTTCTCTTAACCACTGACCATCTCTTCAGCCCCTCAAGTATAATTTTTTAATTAATAATAAATGCACATGGTTTAAAATTCAGAATTATGAAGCCAGGTGTGTTGGCATATGCCTGTAATCTTAGTATTTGGGAGGTTGTAACAGGATGATCTGGAATTCAAGGTCATTCTCAGTTGTATAGAAAAACTTGAGGCCTTACTGGACTGTATGAAATACTAGATTAAAAAAAAAAAAGCTGGGTGTGGTGGCACACGCCTTTAATCCCAGTACTTCCAGCACTTGAGGGGCAGAGGCAGGTGGATCTCTGTGAGATTGAGGCCAGCCTGGTCTACATAGTGAGTTCCAGGCCAGCTGGAGCTACAGGGAGACCCTGTCTCAAACAAACAAACAAAAGCAAAAATCAGATGAAAGGACTAGAGAGATGGTTTGGTGGTTCACTGGTTTAGTTCTTATGTTCTTGCAAAGTGCCTGGGTTCAGTTTCCAGCATCCATATAGTGACTCACAATATATATTTATATATTTTTTTCTGGGGTTTTTTTTTTTTTTTGGTCTTTTTGAGACAGGGTCTCCCTGTAGCCCCAGCTGGCCTGGAACTCGGGAACTCACTATGTGGACCAGGCTGGTCTGGAACTCAGGAACTCACTATGTGGACCAGGCTGGCCTGGAACTCAGAGATCCACCTGCCTTTGCCTCCCGAGTGCTGGAACTAAAGGCGTGCGCCACCACGACCAGCTCCACAATGTTTTTTTATAACTCCAGTTCCAGGGCATCCACTGCCCTCTTCTGGCCTCTTGATCAACACACATGCAATGCACATAAACTCATACAGGCACTCACACACATAAACATAAAAATTTTTTTAAATCTTTAAAAAACCCAGCAAAATAAAATGAAATAAAAACTCGAAAATATGAGATTGAAACAAGGTATCCCTTAACAGTCTTCTCAGCCCCATTCTTTAGTGCCCCCACCCCCAACTCTGTTCCTGAAGGGATCTAGTGTCTCTCCATTCTAACAATCTCTTTAGAGGGAGTTTATGCAATTTCTACTTGGTGTGCTTTGGGCGTGGTTCACATCAGTGTGTGACGAGCCCTATCACTTATTTATAGCTGCATTGTTGGACCATTAATTTACCCACTATGTGGGGTGTCCCTAGTGATGAGCTTGTTGAATTGTTTCCACTTTTTCGTAGTTGTCAGTGCTTCTGTAAGTACCAAACATCTGTCATTTTTCACTTGGGTCTGTTTGTAGGATGGAGAAAAGGGCTGGGTGAAACCATGGCATTTCTAGTCCAGATGAGTGAGGCCTAATGCTCTAAGCAGCTAGCAGTAGGGGGCCCAGGGCTGATTCTTAGAGCTGTACCCTGAGGATGCAGTGAGGAGGGTGGTCCGTGTCTGTGAGGCATGCAGCACCTTTGTCTGTATGTTTCTGCTCTGGTGTGGACACCAAGCCATGTATACACTGCCCAGGAGCCACACATGCTTCCGCTGCCTGCTAGTGACACCTGCACAGAGGTCAGAGGGAATAGGGGGTGAGGCAGTGGTTTCAAGGGTTCCCCGTGTGGTTCCAGTATAAGTGGGCAGATGTGTTGATGAGATGTGGGGTGCCTGTTTTCTAGAACTACGTGAAGGCCATGCGGCTGTTTGTGGGAGAACCTGTGTGGACACCATACAATCGACCGGCTGACCATTTCAATGCCCGGGCACAGTATGTGAAATTCCTGGAAGGAACAGCATAGGGGCTCCATGAGGAGTGACTGCGCCTCGTGAGGCTCCACTGCAGTCACCCATCAGATGGTGTCTCATTTCCCTGCTTCATGCATGGACTTGATGCTAGCTTATCTTTCCTTGGCAAGATTATCTGATCAGAATCTTTAATGAAAGAATCTGTAAAATTGATCTTTACACGGAAGCTGCAAAAATGTGAACAAGTCACTGTCATTTTCCCTACCTCTGTCAGATAGGGTGGGGGGCCTGGGAACTCTAGGTTGGTGTGCATTCATACGTAATAAAATGCATACTTCATGTTCCAGATGGTAATTCTGTAGGCGTCTGTCAGGTGTGAAGCTATGTTCACCCTTCCAAAGGGGACAGTTGTACCCACCACAGCTAACCACATGGAAGATGGTTTTCTCCCTCTGTACCTGGGTGGGAAAGTGGTCATGGGTTGAGGACACCTGCATTGTTTGTGTCTCTGCCTTCTTCAGAATAAAGTAGTTGCCTTAATTTTATGCCCATGTCTAAGTTACTTTATACTAGGCGTCTACTGGGAATACTTCATGGGCACTTGGGGCTGTAGACTCTCCTCATCCTCTGGATGAGATTTCAGAATTCCCACATGTACATATGTGGCCTTAACACATATCAGAAGAGACTCTCAATACATCCTCATATACATAATGGGATTGGGCCCTAGGAATGCCCCATCTTCCATGTCCTGTATGTGGTATTTTTCTTGGTTCATTAAAGCTACCTGTTTAGATTCTGTATATAATTTTATACATGCAGAGTTAACTTCTGCATTAGACTTTTTTCAGTGTTGGGTTTCAGGTCCTTTCATAATCAGGATTCAAAAGAAGTGGTACATGTTTTCTCTACGCAAGTACTCATAGACAGAACACTAATCTAGTACATGCAAGGCCTTGGTTTGAGCCCCAGCACTAAACAAAAAAAAAAAAAAAAAAAAAAAGAAAAAAAGAATAATTCTGAAATACAGTTATATCTAATGTGTTAATAATTACAGAAAAAAAAACCCCACAACCTGTGTTTTCAAAGAGCAAGCTGTTCTCTAAGTGTATTTATAAAAACTGGGTTTTTAAAAAACTTACGTGCTCTTGGCTGGTAAGATGCACATCACCTTTCATCACCTCTGTGTTGGCCTTGGGGGTTCTCTTTTATTATACGAGGGAACTGTGGGTGGCTAACTAAAACTTCCTCAATGTCAGAACTTAGACATGTGTAGGCAGTACATCCAGGGTTTCTTTCTTTCTTTGCTAAGGATTATTCTGCCAAGGGGCTGGAGAAATGGCTCAAAGGTTAAGAGCATTGGCACTTGCAGAGGACCTGGGTTCAGTTTCCAGCACCCACATGGCAACAACAGCTGCCTGTAACTCCAGTTCAAGAGCGTCTGATGCTCTCTTCTGGCCTCCACAGGCATTTTATGACACAGAAACACTGACATACATGCAGGCAAACACTCATACACAAAATAAAAATAAATACATCGCTCTCTCCTGGGAGCCTTCTGGGCCTGATCCTGCCCTCACCTCCCTCTGCTTCCCTGGGCTGCACAACACGCCTCATTCCTGGGCATGGGGGCTGACCTCTTGGCTGGAACCACCACTACTTCCTGATTCCTTACATCCAGATGAACCCAGTTCCTTCTCTTGGTCCCTAGGAGCCCTCTGGGCCTGGTTCTGCCCTCACCTCCCTCTGCTTCCCTGGGCCTGCACAACCCGCCAGCCTCTCTCCTGGGTAAGTCCATCTTGCCCTCTGCACCTTGACTCCCCCAGCCTCATTCACCCTCCCATCTCCCCTGCCCGGCTCTTCTCCTAGCTTGGGTACTGTCCCATTCCTTGTCTTGACACCCCAGACACCGGGGGAACCACCACTGCTTCCTGATCTTTTGCATCCAGACAAACCCAGTTCCTTCTCAGGGTCCCCAGGAGCCCTCTGAACCTGGTCCCGTCCTCACCTCCCTCTGCTTCCCTGGGCTGCACAACCCACCAGCCTCTCTCCCGGGAGCCCTCTGGGCCTGGTCCCGCCCTCACCTCCCTCTGCTTGCTGCAAGACCTGCAAGCCTCTTTCCTGGACACCAGGACTGACCTCTCTGCTTCCTGATCCTTTGCATCCAGACAAACCCAGTTCCTCCCTGCAGTCCCCGGGAGCCCTTGGGGCCCCTTCCTGCCCCCATCTGCCTTTGTATCTCTGGGTGGCATGGCCACCAGCTACCCGAGACCAGCATCTTTCCTGGGCCCTGCTCCCAGCCCAGTCCAACCCCCAAATTCCTGAGGACAACATCTTTCCTGGAGGGATCCAGACTTAGGAGAAAGCCTGAGAGCATCTGATTCTCATCTGACTTGGGCCACTGTGGGAACTCCTGAAGACAAAAGCAATCTGGCCACTCCAATA